CGGCGCCACCTCAGACACCGTCCCCCGCTCAGCTGGCGCCCGCTGAGGAGCGCCCGCCCGAAGGCCACCGGCCCAGCGCAGCGTGGGGCAGAGACCCCGCCTGGACCAGCGGCCAGGCCCAGGGCAGAGGGATGGCGAGACCCTTGCTGCTGCCCCACCCGAGGAGAGCGGGGAGGACGCTCGGTTCCTCCGGCCAGACCCTGGAGAGCAGGTCGTGGCCTCGAGGAGGAGGCAGAGGAGGAGGAAGCGGGCGCCCGCCCCCGCCTGCTCTGAGACGCTGGGATCTCTCTGGGGCCTCTCGGATCGGGAGCCGCCTGCCCCCCGCGGCTGCAGATGCCAGCGGCTGACGCGGCCCCCCACGAGCATGCCTGGGGTCCCCTGGAGGGCGGGGCTCACCGCCGCCCGCTCCTGTCCTGCTGACTGGCGTGGGAAGCCCCCTGCTGGGGAGGCCCTGCTGGGGGGAGCCCACGGCCCCAGCCCGCAGCAGCCCCCCAGCGTCACGGGGGTCCCAGCGACACCCATCTGCCGGCACAGGCCTGTCTCATCCGGGAGCCATGCATGGCCAGCATCTGCCCGACACCTGCCCCCGGCGACAAATGTCCCCAGACGTGTCCCCAGAGTCCCGAGCCCAAAGGGCAGCCTCCTCCCCGACGCTGAGGGCGGCATGCCGCCGGGTGTCCAGCTGAGGCCCTTAGGGCCTGCAGGGGTCCTGCACAGCGGTGCCTGGGCCCACACCCAGGCCTGCTTTGGCAGGCAGCGGCGCCCAGCGTGGGGGAGCCCGGGAAGGCGGGGTCCAAGCTCAGGGCCCACGGGACAGCAGCCCTGCAGCGGCCCCTGTGCCCAGCGGCCAACAGGGTCCGACAGGATCTGCGCAGCCCTGCGTGAGGCTGGGGCATACCCCGCCTGGCCAGCACACGGCGCCCCGGCTCAGCCTGCTGATGGACAAACAAGCCAGTGTCCGCCGCTCTGGCCCTGGAGGGGGGCCACAGCCTGCCGAGTGACCAGTGCATAGAGGCCAGAGGAGGTGCCCAAGGCTCCTGGAGCTAGAAGCAGCTTTCCAGGGTGCTGGAGCCCACCCAGAAGATGGCCAGACCATGTGGACACGACACTCGGGGCCCCTCAGACGGCCCCTGTGCTCAACCCCGGGGCTGGGCCGCGGC